CAAAGCTAAGAAATTAACATTATTACAATACTATTAACTTCAGACTCTATATGTATTTTACCAGTTTTTCCACTAATATCCTTTTACCGTTCCAGGATCCAATTCAAGATACTTTATTACATTTAGTTACTTAATCTTTTTAATTTCATTGCCTCTCCAGGAACGATTATGGGAAGAGAAAGGGGTTAGAGACAGAACACACACTGACACATTCAAGGTCATGGTAGCAAAAGGCAATTGCAATCATTGGATACTTAGGATTCTTGGAATCATCTGCCTCCTTCAGGCACAGGTATTAGAGGGGTGGCTGTATCAAATGCCATCTGTGAGTGGAAAACCTCATGCTGTGATTTGAGAGGTGAGTGATGGCAGACATGACTCCATTCTCCAAAATAGCTCCCACCCCAACAACCCTTCTCCTAGAAATGACAGCCACAGGGATTTGCTTACCATTCTAGACAACAGATGCCTTTATATGTCTTCATTACAAGTGCAAATCTTCGTCTTAATTTATCAGGTCCGTTTCTTCTGTGGGTTGCCAGGTAAGCAGACAGAACGGCAAAGCTTGGGTAGATGTGTAAGGGAGAAGCCGAAGGACTGGTTTTGGAAAATGGGAAAGAACCTGAAACACAGTCAGGTTATGGTTCTGAAGGAAATCAGGGTGTACTCATGGGAACTGGGTGCCTAGAGGTGTATGTATTGGGGGTAGTTGCCAGGTAGGAAGGATAGAGAGGAGGAAAAGCAAAACTTTAGAGGAGATAAATTTCTGTAAGACATGATAGGAAAAAAAAAACAAATCTAGGCTTCTTGATAATTTTCCTGCAACTAAATCTGGGCTGTATGGAACCCAATGCACAAAACACCATGAATGTTGCTGATACTCAGCCAGTTTACCCTGATATAGTCAGACCAGTCCTGAAAATATTGAATCGCTTCCATTTCAGCGGGTAAAGCAGCTGCTCCCCTGAGCTCCTGCCTGCCTTTTCACTGACCCAGGTGCCCTGCCGCTCCCCTGCAGCCTCTGCCAGAAGGTTTACAGCTGCCACCACTGTGAGCCTCCGGAATCCTCCCCGTGACAGGGCCCCCCAGTCCTTTCTGATGACGCGTGTCAAAGCAGGGAGCAAATGCTCGTATGTCATTCCTGCAACAAGACAATTGTGCCAGATCATTTGCCATGTTTTCAGGGTGGAGAGGATTCCAACTGTCAAGGCTTCCAGACTCAAACCAGTTTTTTACAGTATAGATGGAATCCTTCTACCAACCAGTCTTAACTGACTTTTAAAAAAATTGTGGTAAAATATACATAACAAAATTTACCATTTAACCATTTTTAACTGTATTCAGCGGCATTAAGTTACTTTTGTAGCCTTATTGCCAAGAATGCAATGCTTATCATAGTTAGACTATTCCCAAAAGAGGATTCCTGGGGACTTTAGGGGTTTGTGCTTTGGCTCACACTGTTTTCTCTACTTAGAATGCTTTCCTCTTTCATCTGCCTATTAAAAGCCTGAATATATCTCTCTACAGCCACCAGATCTTCACTGATCTCTCACGGCTGAGACAAAGCCCTGCTTGCTCTCAATTCTTGGCATGCACAATTTGAAAATGTCAAACATTCCCACAACTGCCTTGCATTATCATTTTTTTGTATATATGTTTATGTTAACACCTTCTAGATACGTGCTTCTCCAAGTATTGTTCAAGGGTCACCTGTACTAGAATCATCTGCCTTAAACCAGAACACAGGGTCAAAAATTAATTTAATAAGCCTGGGAGAGGGCCCAGAATCAGCATTTAAGGGATCTTATGCACACTAAAGTTTGAGAGCAAAGTTCTAGACAACTGCTTCTTAAAAGTTAGGGGCTGTGTCTTGCTTCTCTTCACATCGTTCACAGCACCGAGCTTGGCACTCAATAAACCTTGAACTGAGCAACCCAGCTCAGTATACGAGAAATGTGAATGTGTTTTCTCTTTGTCTCTGTGTATTGAACAACTGTTTGCTTGTTTGTTTTGCATGGCCAATGTTTAGTCCTACTTTTGCTAAAAGTACCTCAATTTCCTTGTTTCCCTGGGGAAATGACTACCTCCAAGTATTACATTATATAGTTCAGAAGGAGTTGAATCTACTCCTTGGCTCTAGAAGTGGGAATGTTATCCAGGCCAGCCTTGGAA